ATAAAAAAAATTAAATGAATTTTCTTACTGAGTTTTTGAATTTTTTTTGTTAATACTAAATAATTAGTAAATAATTTTGCTATTATTCTTACATAAGCATCAGGAAATGCATTTTCATCAAATTGTGAGGATGATTCGTCACTATCTTGATTACTCTAAGTTTCATAAGATGTTAAAGATTGTTAAGACCTACACTACGATATGTGTACTTACATTTTCAATGATTATGGGTTCTTTTCCACTGTACTCAACAAATTCATTAATAATTAATTGTTCTGGTGTGTCTAATTTTAAAAACCATCAGATAAAGAAATGGTTGCTAATCGTAATAAGCCTTCAAAAGTTATAGTAACAACTTTTCCATAAGTTGCTTTCCAGATAAGATTGACTGAATCTCTAATGCTTTCTATAGCTTCAACCATTCTTCTTTAATATACATAGTATCATAGCACGAGAATTTATATAGATTTACAATCAACATTATGTAATGATATCATGTTAAGCTTATGTAGAATATACTCAAAAATATAATGACGGCTATACTAGATTAAAAAAAATAATTAAATATTTTTTTTGAAAATATTTCTTATGATATACTTTTTTTGCTTATCATGATTTCATAATTTATTTTTAATTGAATAATGAATAGATTGATAAAAAAAATCTAAAAACTAAATTCATTAGGCCGCACAAAATTATATACTTGGTTTTCATATCACGAAATAGTGATTAGTGACCCGGCCGCATGGCTTTTTTTTTTATAGTAAAAAAATTTTTTTTTAAAATAATGTTAAAAAAAGCTTATTAAAGCTTATAAACTTTTTATGTTATTTTGAATTCTGGTTTAATACGATCATAAATAGTCAGATACAAAACCCAGGTCTGTTATATTCTACCAATTTTAAAACTCTTTATAGACTCAGATATAGAGTCGATGAATATAAAAATGCAATCGAATGAATTCTATTTGATAGATTATCTGATAAAGAAATTGACAAAGGAGAATTTGGCTCTGTATATTTAGCAACCTGGTTGGATGGTGTTTGAAAAATTGAGGAAAATAAAATTGATGATGACAACTATTCCTATAAAAGATCATGTAAAGTATCCAACATCATTGCACTCAAGACTTTGTCTGATTCTTTAAAAGAAGTAAGTTAAATCTATTTATTCAATAATTTATTAAATAAAGAATAAACTAATTTATTTTATTTGATTTATTTACTTAACTGTTAATTATAAGTTGAGAATCATATTACATGCGGTTTATGGGGTAGTAAACTTAAAATATACAGATTAACTCAAAAAAATAAAAATGAATATTGGATGATATTTCAATATGCTGATAATGGATGTCTTCACAAGTTTTTAAGAAAAAATTTTTGTGTTCTTACTTGGCAAACTAAATTAAAACTACTTAAAGATATTCTATGAGACTTATGTATGATTTATTTTGCAGATTATATTTATGCAAATTTTTACAGTGGTAATATTTTACAAGACAAAAGCATTAGTGAAAATATGCAATCATATATCACAGATCTAGAATTGTTCAAAAAAATAGACGAAAATAATTTAGGCAATATTTATAGAATTATTCCTTATGTAGCGCTAGAGGTTTTATTGGGTCAAAAGCTTACAAGAGCTGCCGATATTTATGGCTTCAGAATCATCATGTCAAAAATGTCGACTGGACAAAGACCTTTTGATGGAGATGAATTTGATATAATACTTGCTATAAAGATTTGCATCCTGAATTTGCACCTGAAACTCCTAACTGCTATGTTGAACTGGCAAAGCAATGTATAGATTCTGATCCACAAAAACGGCCTAAAACTTATGATCTTTATGAAAAAATTGAAGATTGGCTTAAGAAATTAGATAGTTCAGACGATAATGAAATTAAAAAGCAATTCTCAGATGCTGATAAAGTTATTAAAACATTGCCAATACCAAAACATCCTGATGAA